AATAAAACACCCGCCAACAGTTTATAATTTTAAATATTGAATATGTATAAATAATAAGGCTCGACTGAATCAATAGACGGCAGAGTCGATAGAAAACTGACCGTGTCGATGTATGCCTTTGCAACCCGTAACCCGTTAAACGTATTTTATTCTAAAACCTATCATGCAATCAAATCTTACTATTATCACACATATTATTATGATTATGTACTAAATATTAAATGTTCGAGATCAAACCTAGTTTCCTTGTAGATAACACGGGGGTGTGGTTTCCTCCGAGAACATTAATTAGTGACAGCGAAACAGATGATAATTGGCCATCTCGAATCGATATGAAATAGCACAGTGAAAGACGAGAGTGGAACATGGCTAATCATGTGGCTTATACAAGTAGATATGTCAGAGAACCAACTATAGCAATCCTCGTTGTTGATGACACACACTGACGTCCCACGTTAACGGATGAAATATTATTATTATTTTACTAAGGTATGCGACTCGCGAGTTGCGATACAGCAATAATCTGCTCTAGTGATATTATTTCGAATCGTTAAGTGAATGACTTTGAACATAATACCGTATAATATTATTTCTCTACAATATATAGTCAATAATCGTCATAAAAACGAACGACCACACGTGTGTGACTGTTCGAGACTTCGAGTTGCGATAGTTATCACTCGTATTATACTATTATACTCTCACGATGACAGATGAGAATCGAAACCTTCAGATTCCCTACAAGCGATCGCCGTTGCCTTTTAGTGGCCCACCTACAATTCAACGAAAGTGTTTCGTTAATATTGTAATACTACATAGTAACTTAAATGTTCGCTCATTGACGTTGTTACGTATGATTCGTTGTTCCATCCTTGTTGCTTGCTCAGGAATAGTTTCCTTTTTTTTTTTTTTTAACAACAAATAAATAAACAACTAGACCGTTGCGAGTACCTAAAATATATCACTGACGTAGTAGCTGGAGGTCGGTAATATTTTGTACAGGTCGGATAAACGTAATATCAGAATTGTAAAAATATTGCATAACATTAAACGGTAATGCTCACTGTGTATATATATATATAGAATGCTCGTAGCATAATCTCTGATGATTCAGATGCACCAACATTTTGCAAGGTATATGTCGCTGTGTCACTGCTGCCACTCAACTACGCTCATTTTTCTATGAGTACTTAAAATATTTTCTTATTGACTATAATCGATTTTTTTTTTTTACATTGGAACCTTTTTCTCGTTAGGAATGTGAAATGATAAAGAAATTCGAAATCATACAAACTGCAAATCATAACGATCTAATGAGTATAGACTATTAAATATATCGCCCTGTAGAATACTAATAAATAATAAGTGTTAATAAATATCGATGGTTAAACACAATTTCCTATACACCATACGGCTGCCAATTCCGATAGCGCATAGTTATATCGGTTTCAGCTGTAAGTACTTACTGTATAAACACCAAACAGAAAATAACTTTTAAATCTGTAATCGACAATACTCTCTCGTATTACATAAAATATATCACTAAATAGTAAATGGAGATAATGGTTATTTAATCTAATCGGCTTATATATGATAAACAGCACAAACACAATTATTAAATGCGTCACTAATTTATACACATCACTGTAGTCTGTAACATATGTATAATCATTAAAATGTACATTGGTATTAGTCGAGTACAATATTATCGTTCCAAAGGTTTGTTGATAAAAAAAAAAAAATACCATAAGTTAACGTTATACTTAATACGAATTACGATATTAACTTTTTTAAATATTTAGAATTATTTCTATCTCAAAAATAATGCATACTCTTATACCTAGTTTAAAATCGTAAAGCGAATAAAGTAGGTATTAGGTTGTTCTCGCCTTTTTTCGTACACTAGATTTACCTACCCAGCCTACAAGTAAGATATCGCGAAATACAGAGACATAAATTTCTAATTTTTTTTTACATTAAAGACCCGTACAAGAAATTATTCACGGCTCTGTAGCGCAGAGATGACAAAAAAATTATAGTTTAATATATAATAGGCGTAGGTACCCACCGAATAGATGCAACCAACACACACACACACACAAATCAATAGGTAAATGAACCTATAATTTTAATATAATATATAATATCAATATATTGTTCTATGATAATATAATATAATATTATATTATTATCATAACTAATATTATATTATATTCCAACAGTACCTATAGCAACAATACAATTATTAAATGTAAACAAAAATGTGTTGTTGTTGTTGTTATTTTATTATTTTTACGTCGGCCTTAATCAATTGATATAATACGGTAACAATGCCGACAATTACACGTCATATCGCGCGGGAGAGAAATAAAATTTCTTAAATGATCATCATTTTTCCGACGCCATGCAAATCGAAACTAGTGTAAGTATAAAACGTATAATATAAAAGTTCATCGTTCACGTCAAACACGTCATAATGCAATATAATATTGTAAGTAGGTAGTTGTAGGTACCTTACAGTGTGTACGAGTCGACCATCGACTGGTCGCAAAAGGCAGTTTAGGTTTGGTATTATACAGGGTGTGTTTTTAAACATGCTCACACCAATTTTTCCCTTTAATAGTACATTTATTCAAATTTCGATTTTTAGAATTTTTTATTAGACCTAAAGACCATATTTTCAATTTTCTGATATTTTTTGTACTACTTAAGAAGTATCCTGTGGCGACTGGCGATACAGACTTCTATTTTTAAAATGACACCATTTTTACTGAAAATTATTTAGCTGATTTTTTTTTGTGTTGATGTATCAAAATCAAAATTCTAATGAGTAGTTTCTGAGTTAAATGTTTATACTAAGGATAATAATCCTTAAAAATGGATTTATAAAAATGTATTATATTTGGGTCATTTTTACAAATTATTTATATTGATAAATCAATAGTAATTTCTAATTTTTTCAAATCATTCCTCCTACCTCCTATCTACTTAACACATTACAATAGACATATTATTCTTAAAACTCAAAGCTACATTACTCAAAAGACAAAAACTATAATAGCTTGAATTTAGATTTAGAAGGATCAAAATTCTCAGAAAAATATCTGTTTAATAATAAAAAATGAAAAAGGGAGGTCACCATTTGAAATACTGAGGTTTGTTTTGTCATAGGATCATCCATAAGTGATACAAAATATTTCAATGATTCGAAAATTGGTCATCAAGTGTACTTAAAAATTCAAAAATCTGTATTTTAATAAATGCATAATATATGCATAAATTAATCATAAAAATAGGATAAGCATGCTTTAAAAATCGACCTGTATATGTCGTTTTGCAACTGCGCCTTGTTTTCGCATCCGTTTATTAAGCTCCCTCCGTCTTACCTGAGCGATTAAGTTCACTCGAGTGAACCTACGGAACTGAAGAATGAGTGAACTCGGGCCGTGCTGCAAGCTTGTCTTAATAATTCAGTTGTGTTGCATATTTTCTCAAACTATCGGACACGTCATATATCGACTTTGCATATATCGACAACTGAAAAATGAAGATGACAACGTACACACTATCATTTTTAACGACAGACCCCATCCAAACTTGTCGTCCCTGCTGCTTGAAAGTTCAGGTGCATCCCAAACGGCTCCCGCCCATTATTTGTATATATTCCCAAAGAGCTCCCGTCGGAAAGGGTAATACGTAGAACTAGGATTTTAATGACTTAAAAAATACACAAAAATGCACTAAAAAAATATATGCAAAAACGACCTAAAAACTCTAAAAAATGAACTTAAAAAATGACTAAAAAATGTGTTTAGGTGAGCGGAAAAAATGTATTTTAAAAATAAATATTATTATTAATTATTAATTATGAACGTAATAGACTTGTGAATGTAACCGCTTCCTGATATAATTATGCTGAAAAATCAATAAATGCATAAATTAAAATAATTCAATGAAAAATATATCATATTTGTTTTTCACCTGTACACATATTATTGCATTGCACAATTAGATGATTCTTAAGATTTTCAAACAGGAAGCTGCGATGGCGGCAGTCAGATAAAATGTTTTTATATGAAGAAAAATTTCGTGCGATTTCCACAGATATAACGGGGCCATATTTGAAATGAACCATATCATTTAAAGTTAGGTCTTCCGGAATACCATCTCTACTTGTTGTATTTTCACCGTTCAGAATAGCAGATCAATTTACAAAAAAGCAACTTACCGTTAGTAAAAAAAATATCGGCACCATACTCGCTCACAAAACTACGTAAACGGCTTCCTACTGTTGACTTAATTTTTGGCATTTTGTACAATTAAGATCGGTAGAATCACAAAGGTACGTGTCGAATTCACTACTAAAGCTACTATTGTATACCTAAATAGTTATGGGTTCATTCGATGTTTAATCTCATCGGATAAATCTATAATTAATTATATTTACTTTTTCATTATCAAAAAAGACTGGAGTAGGTATTGCCTATAGGTGCTAATTGGAATTACCTTTACAACAAATATTAAAAAAAGCTTAAAATAAACAAAACTTAGTTTAAATACACAAAATGAACGTAATATAATATATTATACAATATAATTACAACAAATTGACAAAATAATTATTACCGAAACACTGAGCGTATATAATTTCTATACCAAAATTAATGATGATATATTATTCGTACTTCCTTATTATATACCTCTTTTAAAACAGTGCTAAGTCTGCATGAAGACGTGGGAAGGAATTTGTGTTGTAAAAAAACACGGCCGTTTGGGAATTGACCTTTTTGAAAGACGGACGCCGTTTAGGAAAAAAGAGAGCCCAATGGGCTACGTCCGAAAATTCAAGCCCGACGACTCGACGACTAGATTACCCATTATTACGACACAATCCTTTGCGGGGGCTGCAGCGTTCCATTCTTCAGATCTGTTTATAATTGTTGGCGACCCCTACCCCGGGACCGTCCCAAGACGGCTTTCAGGGGGGGTGGGGGGGTTTACAGACTAAAATGTTGTACCCCGCGTGTTTATAGATGTTACTGGTGATGACCGCTGCAGCGGTGATGACGATATCGCTACCGATGGCGCTGCCGGTGACCGGGATCGGGCTGCCGGTTTCCCGGTTGACGTACATCGTGAGCGGGGCTCACCTGGAGTGGACAAGGCCCGGCGATCGGTTGCGGGCCACCGAGTCGGGCGAGTACGTGGCCCGCAACGTGGCGCCCGCCCGGATGGCGATGAGACACGACGGCGTCATCTACCTGGCCATGCCCAGGCTCAGGCGAGGAGTGCCGTTCACGCTCGGCGCCGTCGAGTACGACACTTGCGCTAGCACCATCGAGCCTCCCGTGTCGCCGTACCCGTGCGCGGCCGCCCACTGGAACGCCGCGAGGTCCGGCCCTGGTACCGGTAACTGGACCATGGTCAACGTGGTGGACGTGCACTTGGACGATGGCGGCGTGCTGTGGGCGCTGGACATCGGTAAGGTGAACCTGCTCGAAGACGGAGGGGCCGTCGTCGTCCGGCCGCCGATGGTGTTCGCATTCGACACGGACACCAATGAAGTGAGTATACCGCAATCAAATACCAGTACCTACACCCTTATGAGTGGGTCTGGCCGGGTGGGTGATCGCCAAAAAATTATTGATTCAATTTATTATAGTTGTGAACAATATTCCTATCATTTATATGCAAGTTTTGTTTATTGGCTGCATACTTAAGTAAAATATGAAATGTTATTGTGTGGATGGGTGGGCAGGTGGTTGGTTTTGTCCTGTCTGTTTGTAAAATAAAGTTGAGCGGCACTAATAATCTCTACTACCTGCTTACTAAGACTTAAAATGTAACCAAATATTATATCTAATTATATACGTAATTCATGTAGCTCGATAGGATCGTAGGCGCACATCAAATAATGTTACGGAGTCCGACAAAGTGATTAATAAAACGTATAAAATATAATATTGTGTTGATTTCAATGTTACACCCTTACGTGATTCAAAATGTAAAACGACTTATTTCATATTAGGATATTATAATTTAGAAAAATACTGCAATTATCGTCTATCAATAGTGCAATTTAAAAAAAAAGACATTTCTGTTTTTTTTTTTTATAATTGATCTCCTATGACCGAAAACGATTAAATGTGATTCTACTCGGCTCCGATTTCCTCTTATTAACTTTAAACACAATTGTTCTGTATAACCGTATACTCGAGTTAAACTTCAAGAAATAAAAATCGACTTCAATTTATATTGTTACATTCTCGTCACAGTAACGTCTTTTACTTCATGGTTTTATTAAATACATTTTAAAAGGTAATTTCAAATGTTTTAATGATATACATAGGCTTAACCAATTTATAGATCATTTACCTGCTTTGTTAATTCAATTTTATTAAATTACATTTTAAAATATATAAAAAATCAACATTCTTATGTTTATTTTCTAATACACAAAACACATACGACAAATACGGCATCGAGTCTAGATAAAACTTAATACACATGTGCGTGTATTGTGTTGTACACGACGCGCGGTAGTACCTACCATAATATTATTATCAAAAATCAATTTCGGTTTAAGCAAAGATGACGTTATAATGATGGTTTTATTGATGGTGTGCTTTTATTTGAATGTATTGTGTTTATTAAATGTATTATTAGTATTAAATCTAACAAAAAAAACTATTAAATGCCTCCGCCAAAATGGGCACAAAAAAAACTTAAGTTAAAATTTTTATAAAATACATTTAAGAAAATAAAAACGCTCTCAGAGAATTTCTTCGTTATTCTTTTACAAATAAATAACTAAATGTATAAACGTGAACGTGTGCAAGTGAAAAAAGTAAAACTATAGGAAAATTCTTTGTTCTTGGAATTTTCAATAACACGTTTAACTATGTTACGTCTAAACATATAAGAATTTATGTAAACACGTATTAATAGTCGAAAAAATATTTCTGAAAAATCACTATACAGGCAAAGAAAAATTAAATTAAATTTATTGAAATAGTTTCAGACAAAATAAGATATCATAAAGCTATAATATTATATTATACAATAAAACATAATATAAACTCAATAATAATTTATACCTATTGGCTATAACCATTGATTATAAATATTAATTTTTTATTATAATTAATGCTACTACCTACCAATATTATATTTCGCAGTTATAGGTACCAGTATACTTCATCATATAATGTATTAATTGACAAATGAGTAATATTTATAAAAATAAATTAAACGTTAAAACTGCATAGGAATATGATCACATTAACCTAGCGCTTGTTCAGTCGTTTTCATAATTAATTTTTGAAAAATGAAAACGTTCTATCCGCTCTTTTCAAACGGATTTGACGTTTAAGTGATTTTCCGTTTTAATTATACCGATAACCAAACAAAAACATTTCACTCTCGTAAAACGGCTGCAGCACCGACTATTATCAAATATAACAATTAAAGTTTAAACTAATTAACCGTCGTGGTTTATTATCGATGCAAGTGTCACAAACATATTTCCAGCAAAATTCAGTTAAAATTAATGTTTTTATAATAACACTTGTAACACAAATAATATAATATTATAGGTATAAGTTAGAAGTGATAAACAGGCGCTGTCGAATGAGCAAAAATGATAACATATTAACAAATTAATGCTGATTAGAAAACCATTTTGAACAGCAGTAATCCGGGCTTTCTCGAAGTAATGCCTATATTTTAAAAATTCGTTCATTTTTCTAACGTTTTGAAAAAAAAAAAATAGTAAGAAACCGAGTGGCCCGAGTTGTTCAGAAATTCAATAAATATTAATAATATAAATCAGAATGCGGTCAATATTAAAAATTCGTTTATGTTTCCTGCTTGAAAAAAATAATAAGAAACCGAGCCGGCCCCAAATTGTTGTGAAATGCAATAAATATTGATATTATAATAAATCGTTTTATTACACAAATTTTGAATTAAACTATTATTATAAGCATTATTTAAGTAAAATAAACGTGATTTCAAAACAATTTGTCAAAATGTTTACAACGTCTAAATTACGTACCTATCAATATAGTTATGTAATTTAATATAAATTTGTTCTCCGCGGCCTCGTCAACTGTTGTAAAATAATAAAATATAAATATTCTAATATACCTATACACATTTGTTTATTACAAATATTACGGATGCAAGTGATGAAACAATCATATTGACAGGATGATGCATCTGGGCAATGAGCACCATCATTTAGTTTATTAGGTAGCTAGATATTTTGTTTTGTTTTTAGTTTATATTCCCACTTACCTTGATGTTATTGCAGTAACTTATTATTAATCGAACTATATGCGTTTTATTAAAAATTGTTTTCTTTATAGTAATATAATATATTCACAATACTTTACTGAAGTCTGTAATATGTAATTGGCTATGTATTTATGCCCGTCATATGTATTAACATCAAATATCAAAAAATATACATTTCCTCGCAAGACTTTGAACGTGAATTAACCGAAACCAGAATAATTTTTTATTTTACAAATTTAATCCGAATTATTTTTTCAATAGTATTAGACGAATAAAATGGTATTTGAATAAATTTCAAACGTGAATTTTACTATAGAATATACCAGCCTGATTTTTTTTTATTCGAATGAATGAATGACTTACTGTACCTACTCGAAAATAATTGGAAAAAAACTTAAATTTGAACGATAATGCGTCCTACTCTGGTTGCAGATAATGCGAGCGATCGACTTGTCGCGCGCGACCACGGAGGCCAGCTGCCTGCAATCGATCGTGGTCGACCACAGCACGACCGCGGGCCAGTTCGTGTACGTGTCGGACGCCGGCCTGGGCAACGTGATCGTGTACAGCGTGGCCTGCGACAGTTCGTTCAAGGTGCACGTGCCGGTTGGATCGTGTGGCCGGCGGGACGTCATGTACATGGCACCGGTCCAGGCCGACGTGTTGGACATGGCCGCTGGCCGCGGCACGGCCCGCTACCGACGGCTCTACGTCACGTACCTATCGTCGTGCGACATGATATACATACCCGTGCAGGTCGTCGACGAGACAACAGTCGGTCTGCCGACCGTCAACGTGGGTCGGAAGCCGTGCAAGATGATCGTGCTGGGCACCGACCGTGGGTCCGTCATCTACTTCCGGTCCGGCAGCGACACCGCCGAAATTCTCAGCTGGGACGTCAACAAGCTGTTCCGGCACGAAAACTTTAGGTAAATAGTTAGAAGGAAAAACAATAACTCTCAAGTTCGTTAGACACACATATATATATATACGGTATAGTAAGAAAAAAGAAAAATTTTAAATACAATACTAATTGATTATGACAATTAAAAAATTCACACATTCGTAATTAGTGTGTCAAGTGATCACTTATTATGCACACATTTAAAAAATTTTAATGTATCAAAAATGATCAAAAAAATATTACAAAATTGAATTCGTCAAAAACGGTCGGTATATTCAATCCCCCAAGAAAAATGTATACTTAATTATACTTAAATTATTGTTAATTGTTAATTGTTATTAGTATTAATATATAAATATGATACAGTATAAATGTATTTCTTTTGAAAAATCTCGTGGTATTTATTTCATCAAATTATAATAAATACAATAAAATTTGTGGTACAATAGAGAATATAATACATTTTTATTGGCTACTGGAAAGTACCTAACGTTTTTAAATGTTTGCATAGTAAGTGATCACATTATACGCACTAATTACAAATATATGCATTTTTTTATTTTCATATTCAATTAGTATTATATTTAAAATTTTTAAAAATTTTTCCTTTTTTCCGGAATTCCTATATTCACCTTGCCGCACGACTTTTTCATTCGCCTTTCATTTTATATTTTTAATCTAGTCGTTGTACGAATTTTATTCTGATTTTCGGAATTCTGTTCAATATAATAGTTTCGAACAATCAGATTTTCATGCCACCTTTAAAGCAATATAGGTACCTATAAGGAAAAATACACATACGTCTTATTTTCATCTGCCACAGCCCTTTTTACTGCATGTGAATTTTAATGAACAAACGATTTTGTTGCTCCCGGACAATCATTACAAATCGCAAATCAACATTTTTATAAAACTACAATAATTGTAAAGGGATTAGGAAATAAGAACGCTTTTCAAGCGCTTGTCATTATGATGAGTTTGGTATTATGAGTATATTAATAGATAGTCATCGTAATATCACACTTAATTACAATTGTCCAAAGTCGTCAATCTCCATTCGGGGCGATACTCGTGTTATCCGTAGGTTATATCGTATATAATATAATAATGACATAATAATATGTGGTGCTCGAATCAAAATATATCGGCCACTTCGATTTTGCGAGAAGCGTTATCGTCTCTTACCAGCGGCTCCCGCCCGCACGCGAACCTACGTATTGAGTTCACTCGGTTCAGTGTTCAAAAAACGCATTATACATCTCCGGTTATTTTTGTCCTGGAGAGAAGAGAGAGAGAGAGAGAGAGAGAGAAAGGAAAAGCCCTTTTTTTATTTAGAGTGCCCCGTATTAAATGAAAGCCGACGTTTGGTATATTGGATATCGGACGTATTTTTTTCCCCTTAAAAACCGATGTCGGGCCCAATGTTATACGGTTTTTCAGCGCGGAAAAAAAAGCAGACAGGTCATTTAAGCACTTTACTTATATATCCACATTCTAACGACGACGCGTCCTTCCCCCCCGTAAGTTCTATTTTCCCGTCGCTATCTTCATCGCGAACCATTTTATCCTATAATGAGGCATTGCATACACCTATATTGGCTACGTGTAATAAATCGTTGATCACCAGAGTCAGTTAGCTACGGTCGACGGTGTAAGCGATACTGAGTATAACCACCTGAGCACGAGCGTAATCTATCTATACCATAATATCTGCACCTATATGTACATTGCATTATTTTGATGGTAGTCGTCGAATGTCTGCAGTCCTCCGCAGGATTTCCAAATTAATTATCGTGTGAGATCGAGAGTCTGGTCGTATTATTGTCGTATCGTACATATTAATCGGCCGCTCGCACGAGAAAAAATGTCCATGTTTGGGCTTACGGCCGTATTAAAGTTATTAAAATATAATATTGTGCAACGAATATACGATGTATGACGCGTGTTTGATAATAAAAAGTATACATTTCGAATAACTGCAATCGTTGTCCGTTACAACTATATACACATATGGCGGACATCCGATGTCTGCGGATTTAGATAAGTCCTAAAGAATCACTCATAAAAATACGCACGTACACTTTTCAGCAGATGGGAAAAATTACGACAACGGTCGTAATAAAAAACATGTCTATTATAGTATTATTATTATTAGTTGTTTGGAAAATGAACCGTAGACTATAGCTCGTTGAATATAATATACATCGCAATCGTGACGCGGATACTCGGTGGGCAATAGGGGGGGGGGAGGGGGGGTTGTCGAAACGACGTGGTTCGTGATTGAACTCGTGTTCTATAATGCGTGTTCGGTTTTAAAAACTTTCCACCGACAAAGTCGTATTATAATATGATTACACTATATTGCTCTTCCCGAAAACCATGTCATCTTTTTCATTCCGGCGTCGGTCTTAAAAATAATAACCCCCGGAATAACTTGTTACGAAAATATTAACATTATTAGTAACAAGATAGCGTCTGAAATATTTATTTTATTTATTTTCTGTTATTTCAATGTTAAAAATATTATCACTGTTATCATTATTTTACGACGTTCGTATAAAAATATAATATACTCTGAGGGCGAACCATAAAAACTTTTGAACGTAAAATATGCGGCGCTTGTGCGTGCGTGTGTCTCGTGTGTGTGAGCGTGTGTGGGCACGGATCGTTATCGCGATATATATATTATTATTATTATTATTATTATTATTATTATTATATATACATATTGTGAGCGTATACTCGTGTGTATAGCTGGTCCGTATACAACTGTTTCACGACTGAAATATCAAACACCGTTTGATAATACAACAACGACGACGACTAATTCATGAACCGCCGCCTCGTTTGTATAATATAATGTGAGCCCGACATATTGTGGCTCACATCCCGTGTAAACCCAGCTTTATCCACTGCAGTGCGCGGCCATAATATAATATAATGTGCCGTTTTATATCGTTAAAGTACGCACACCATATTATAGTGCGTGGCATGATGGCATGGCGTGTGCAACGGCGACGTGTTCTACGGTGTACAATTTTGGGCTCAAAGGTTTAACATTTTACCGTTTTAGCCCTGCGATACCTCCCCGCCGCAACATCAATATACACGTGTTATGTATCGTTAGTCGTTACAGTGTTATTGTGATGATATTGCAGTTAATCGCGTAAAGTGGATGATTTTTTTTCGCTTTCGCGGGATACAATGGGACACAACCAATAATATCGTTTCTGTTAATATAATAATATTAACACGTCACATCATTTGATAGTATGGCTATAGAAATGCACGTATACGCTAAAATAGTAGGTGCACTACTAATGTACGTCTGTGCAGTGTCAGTGTGTTTATTACTTGACACATAAAGAAAACTATTGTTTTGTACATCGTTATTATAGAATATACGTACTTGAAAATCTTACATGACCTGTGTATATGCTATAATAAAACGCTTTATATCCCTAATGTATTGTGCATAATAGCATATACGGTATACCTAATATCTGCAGTGATGTTTTATTGGGGGCTCGAGGGATCAATTGCCATGAGCGCCAAATTCTGAGTCCCATAAAGGACCCCTGGTGCTTGACGTTCGAAGGCCTAATACAGGAATACCGATTATGAATTTTTATTTTTACCCTTTTTACCGTAATACGTTACATCAATCATTTTACAATTTAACATATTGTATTAATGTAATAACCTAATATTTAATATTATATTTTCTCTATTTTTATGTATGTATAATTTCCAATTTAATTTTAATTGTTAAACAAAGTATTAATAAACATGAATTAAACAATAATAAAATATATAAAGTTAAACTAGTTAAGTTCCAAAAATAACAACGAAAAAAGTCAAATCCGATTTTAATCCCGGGTTTTTGTACGTTGTATCCGAATTTCCATTTGCGTTATTTTAACCTACCTGAGTTGTGGCACGATTATTATTTACCATCTTAAAATGTGGCCGTCATCCACATAATATAATCGTTGCCCGTTTAATAACAACAACAGTTGTCAATCATAATAATATTGGTTTATAACATAAAATGTCCATATTACAATATTAATGTTTTATTGTTCTTGTCCGTCATTTTAATAAGACATGTTCACAATAATATGTCTATAACATAGTATATAATTGTTGGCTGTAAATAATAATAGCACTGACAGTAACAAATTAACAAATTTAAATTTATAAATAAATATATCAAACAAGTTTTTACTATAGTCATAAAATTAGTTTTTTTTTTAAATAATATAACAACAATTTGAAATAAAAATTACAAAACATTTTTAACCCACCTGTAGTCATAATGCTATCGACAATCTGTGTAAAAATAGGAATACAAATTTAGTTCCGTAGTATAAGATATATTTTTTTATTTTTTATGTTTGTAATTACTAATTATAGTATGTACCAAAAAAGGGGGAGAGGTTGCAATTCATATGTACGCATCTAGTTGGGTATAACCATTGATTATAAATATTAGTATTATTAGTTATTTAGGCTATAGGTACGCATTATAATATAATATTTTTAATTATATACACACAATTGCTAACAAGTAATAACTATACACAGGTATACAACATAAAGCCGGTATTTCACAAATGTACGCGTAAACTTTTATTGTGCGACATTTAATCTGTTGACCTACAGCACATGAGTAACACGATCGTACATGCCAAAAAAGTAGGAAGCACTCATTGGTAATTTCCACACGACTTTTCACAAAACAATTTTTATGATTTATATGTTATGTTGAATCGGTTGAAATAATTTTATTTCTTATAACCGATAGATTTCATGTCGGTACATATTACAATAATTGCAGTAATATCACAGTAATTATTTGTTATTTACACCAATAATTTCAAACGATTTGATAAGCATGGTCACTATTGAAGAAATATTATAATAAATGTTTGTACTTTGTAATTCTATTTGTACTTTTATTTTTTATTTAACTCTGTAGCAACTAGAATTGAAATCGTAAAAAAAAATCAATAAATGAAGTCTTAATAAATGTATATAAGTATACTCGTATTATAATAATACTTCAAATAAGACGCTGCGTCGCTACTAAAGGAATTTGTATTTTGTAAGCAGAATATATTATTAAAAATAATTATTGTAATAACTTTAAGCTTTGAATTATGTTTTCTATAAACTGTTGAAGTAGACGGCTGTCAGATACAGTTAAAATTTGCAACAAAACGTAAGAATATTAATTTAATACGAAAGATAAAAGTCCAATAATGTATTATCTTATCTAATATCTAAATTATACAATGAAAAATAATGTCTAAAAAATGGTTTATGGTATATAACTATCAATTTGTTTTGAACACATAATATTTTGAATACTGGTTAACATATACATTAGGTCCCTATTACTTAATCATTTTATTATTTTCTTGATTTCGTTAAATGATACATTGGTAATTATAATATAATAATTAAGTTTTAAAATAAAACAAAAAAGGCACCTACTAGGTAAATAAATAATTGTAATAAATTCTCATCAATATATAAGGATATACTACATTATAATAACAATAATAATCATAATTAATTGAATAATAATGAACATTTAGTTATTATAGAGTTATCAAGGAAAATAACGGTAAAAAACGTATAATTAATGGAAAACCAAGAAATATTGTATTGTAACATGAAAACATTGGTAAGTACCTAAGTATAGGTACCTTTATAAGTGATAAGATAGAGCATCATCATAGAACCATACATTTTATGTTATCCAGGCGACCTGTCGATTAGGTACATATTATGTAAATTTCACTGTAGTATAGAGAGTCGTAATAGTTTTTAACTCGATCATGTATTTTTACACCTTCATGAATAATAATAACCCCAATAATATCTAGTTGTCAATTATTTAGCCGCAATAACATTAAAACATTATGTATCAGAATCAGATTCCTTTCTAAATATATGTGTGTGTTTTTTTTAATGTTCATAATTTGTATCAATACAATTTGTTAGGCAGACGGCCGTTATAGATCGATATCGACTATCGGGTGCCAGTGTGCTACTGTAATAAAAAGTGGGAAAATAATACCTCTGCAACGACAAAATATATTGAGTAGTTAATAATATGTATCAAGTGTCAAATAGTGTCAAATAGTGTCAAATACTTCGATATTATTTTATGTCCATTGTTCTTTATAGGGCATGGGAGGCAAATTAATTCAGTTTAAATATACGATTGATATAATGGAAATTTTAACCTACAAAGTACAAAATGGCCTATTTTTTCTATTTATTTAATTATTATTAATTAATATAAAACAATGTGAATGCTCTAAAATGTATTATTACTGCACAAATTATACACACCTACCTACCTATATTTTCTATGTATATCCCTTACCTGTTATACTTTTTCTTTGATTCTTTAGTATTTTAAATTAAAAATTATTATTATTTTATAATAATGAATTAAATCTTAATTTATATATACATATTATGTACGATCATTTAATGTATAAATATATTTATTTCGATTTAGTCTCAGCAAGAGTATATTATATGTACGAGCTGCTGTAAGTATAAAACTATACAATATGATAATGGTAATCTGTAGGTATTATTTGCTAAGAAAACATCGATGAAACGGTTTCCTCGTAATCAAACAGGAGCCTAGAAAACTTTTTGATTATAAGCCACGTGGTTAAAATGTGAAAATCTCTTTTAAAAACGATTCAATCGTTTACCGTGGTTTTACGTGATGAAGTTACTATGCATTCTGCATATCTATCAACACACTCGTCGCTCATTTAATAATGAATAAAGTTGTTGACGTTTGACTTGCCCTTTACTCTTTATAATTTCCTCCGTATATTTCTCTCACTCCTCCTCTCTCTGTTTCCCTCTCTCTCTCTCTCTCCTCACTCCTCACTCACTCACAGACATATCAACGCAAAGCTGTTTGTGCTTACTTATTTATTCAGTGCCCGTATAGATGTAGATGATGAAATCTCTGCGGTCTATCGCATTCGATTGATGTGGGAATCATTTACGCTCCTAAATAACACAATTAATGAGGGAGTATACTTTCCGCCAAATGTATACCCCTACCTTTCTCTTTTGTGCCAAATTATGAACTAGTGGACTCCATCTTCTGAAAAACTTATAGGATATCATTTCAATAATATTGAACGATTATGGTTATATATATTATTTTAATTTAATATTTTATTTGATTATTATTTAATTACAATTTAGACAAACAAAAAGATAAAAAATATAATATTGTTCATATTCGTAAAAAAAAAGTAGTTATTGCATTGTAAATTCTAATATACGTTTCACATGATATTAATAATGTGTATAGCTAGTAGCAGTATAATGACAAAATATAATGCAATAGTATATGGCCAATGTTTATAGTTCGACTATTCAACTATAGTAATATTACAAATGTATATTTTAATACAAGATAGACTAGATTTAATCACCGATCTTGCTTTTTGGTGAGGTCACAGAGCAGGGTCTATGCGATGATAGCAAAACGTGATAGTTACAATCATGACAATTAGTATCATGAAAGCTTATTGAGCTGTCACTATATTATATGAACAATTGTATAGTGTAGATATATATAGAGTATCTATCTAGATATAATCTAAGTAATGCGAAAGTAGTTTAGTCCCTGGTTCACGGTTCAAAAAAAAAAAAGACAGTATTTGTCAACTGTCACAGCTCACAATATAATGATAAATCCATCACACTATCAACCACTGTGGATGCTGGCGGGGGACCCAAGCCTCTCCTAAAATCATTTTTCAAGTTGCTGTTTATCCTGAATGTCCTACGTTGCATTGATTTCCAAGCACAAATCGTGTTCCATACATTAAAGAACATAAAACTGAAACTAATTTTCGCATTTATTGAAACTTGTTTATTTTTAAAGCTTTTCGGAAGTTTTGTTTTTTTTTAATTTCGATTGCATTTTTGTGCTTTGCATTAAGACGCATACAATTAAATTAAATGTAACGTAACTATCCCTCTAAAATGTTTGATAAAAGCAAAAAATATTTATTTTTATTCACTATACCTATACGTATATATCACGTCACTAGCTGTTAGTTGCCATACCTATACAGCTCGTGATTCGCGTTCTGCCCGCAGGTCCGTGCAGCGCTGTCGAAAGTCCAGGATACCTTTAATGGTGACCTTGGGTTTTCTCGGTTACCAGTGGTCAATGGAGAGCAATTACGTCGACTTCCTGGTCGGCGACGTCGGGTGTCTGGGCGTCAGCACTAGAATCGAACGGCTGCAGATTCGCGACGAATACCCCGACGACCCGTGTTCGAACACGGTGCCGACGCGATGCGGCCGAGGCCCGACGGCGGTGGCGACGGAAACGGTCAGGATAAACATGAGAGGGAAGAGTGAGACGATTGGCGTCGACGACACACCCGCCGCGACAATAGCCGTCGTGCAGGCACCGTAGACACTCGGATGCAGACGCCGCTGCGCCTTCGGGACCGCCGATCATGGCCGCGTCGGAGACAATACGATATTTCTCCGACATTTTTTTGACCGGAAAAGCATACAAATAAAATAGCATATTATGATATTATTGTTGTACAGAGTGCAAGCGTTTCCGGATATGATTCTTCGTATTCCGAGAATTTCTTAGCGTACCCAATAAATATCGTATAATATCCAACGGTATTCGTTGACTATGTTATCGCCGCTGTAGTCTTGTACCGCATTTATTGTGCTACACGCCACTCGTTAATTATTGTTTGTTTTTTTTTGTTTTTCATCATTTCTATTTAATTGTTTATCATTTATATAATATATTATGCATAATAATAATATAATGCAGTCATAAATTGAGATATTTGTATAGTTATTATTATTTATATAGTATAAGGAGATGACACCTATAGTAAATTTTGAGTATACTCCTATACTTTTGGTTTTTTTGAAAGTGAAGAACTTCTTTGGGGACGGCAGCATAACTCAGTGTACGTCAGAGATTCATGGGCTCAGCCGTTGCAACCGAAAAGCGTCACGGGCGTGTCTTACTGGACACTATGGGTCCAATCAGACGATCGGATTTGCCAGTCGGTCACCGTGTTCTTCCTAGAGCAATAAATATGCCAGAGTCTCCGAACTGACAGACCGGTGAAAACGTCACTGTCTGATTACCACAGACTTGTTTGGGTCAATTCTTCCAAACGGTCAACGTCATTCTAACGAATACATTCTTATTTCTATGCTTATTATTCCGGCGAGGAAAATGCTTAACAACAGTGGACTGTATAATTTTTGTATTTGGTTTTATTTCAGTGTAAAACAACGTCATAATTTTTAAGTAGATTTGTGTATGAAGCCTACCTGTGCAAGTCTGCCTGGGTAGGTCTTGCTGCAGAATGCTCCGTTGAACACACTGACCGATTTAGTGCTCCGCACTCGTATTTATAACCTGGTCTCGCAGCCGCGTCATCGCAGGAGCCGCCCCTGAAGTGTCGTTGGTTGGTCGTTGGGCGTGGTTGAACGGCGGAGATAACGCTGGTTAGCTGCTGCCCTCGAAGCCACGCCCACAACGTTCTGTTGTCGTATGCTTATTTGTTTTTACCGAATACGCGGGTCATCAATAAGATTGAGCAATAAAATTATGTGACTGTACATTATTGCAATCGGTGTCCCTTGTGACCGGACCGATCTGACCAGCGCTTTACATAATACATAGATCCGGCCGATACAGTAGTACACTCGTATACGCCTAACGACGTCAAACGTGCTTGGTGTAGCGTTTTATTCGTAACGATCGACCCACGATAGTGCCGACCGACTGTATTCCGAATCTCATCATATTATGCAAACAATAGTTGGCTGACTGCCCAATGTGATATCATTTTTACATAATTATAATACCATTAACAAATATTATAGAATAGATAATTTTATACAAGAATAATTATGGTGCCATCGAAAATACTTCGCGTGGCGCGAACACTTATACTATTATTATTATTGTGGCCTGTTAGATAAATTAATAGAATTAAGAGTGTTACAACATATTATACACCATATTATAACAATGTAGAAGAACCGTGAAATAAATCAAAATTATTAATTTTGATTAACCGGCGAGTTTTCACTGCTTGATAATATACTCGCCGGAATTATTGAAGCCGTGTCGAGCTTCTTGAACTTCCACCACCACTCTTCTAACCCTTCGATCAGTTTCGCCGTCTCCTCCGAAAGTTCTTCTTGTCACCATCTCCGGATCCGAAGCACACGGCACACCTCGATATGCAGCCAAGCTTTCTAGTTCGAACCGCCCAGTCGACAGAACGAACAGGTGCCGGTTTCGAGGACGCGGAAAGAATTTCCGTGATTGTGGTCCTTTGGAAAAGGCTGATTTTCAGACTCGTCATCTGTAGCCGGTCCTGATCCTGATCCTATGCCTGTGGCTTCTTCTGCTGCTGCATACCAAAGATATCGCCATCGAGCACCTCAACCTCTTACTCCGTCTAGAATACTGATGGCTGAACCGCAATTGGCAGTACGTTGTAGTGCACTGTTTCTCATGGCCCAACGAGAACCACCTTGCTGGTTCGGTCATCCTGGTCCGACAGTCCACCTCAAGTCCTCTTGTTGACTTTGGTGTCTGTGCAACGACAATACCGCAATGGACATTCTCTGATTTCCCACCAGCGTTTTCCAGTTTTGTCTAGTTTACTGCACTTTGACTGTAGGCCAAATACAGGTTCAGGACTAAAAACTAAAAAATCTCAATTTTTAGATTAATAAAAAAAAATATATGGATTAATATTAATTTTATTATTTTAATTTTTTTTATATACCCATTTTGTCCATGTGAGCAGCTAGACTTAACGTGGTGACATAATATGATACAATTTAAAATTATTTGAGTTGATTTTCTATTTTTTTATAGTATCACTGGAGATAACATTGACAAAAATTATAAATCTTCTGTGAATAAGCTCAATAGTTAGTTAAATATTATACTGACATCTATAAGTTGAAATAAATACACTTCAGTCGTATTCCAAACTTAAAATGTTCTATTGTAGTTTTTGTACAATAGTTTAGCTTATTGTTACTACTATAAAAATATATTCTTATCAAAATATGAATTAAACTTTGACCGATATTTGACATTAAATATAATATATATAGTAGGTTTATGCAGTATAAAATAGACATTCTGTCTACAGTTTAAACTTTAAAGTGTTAAAGCTATATATTGATATTGCCATATATAGTTGGTTAAAACTAAGTTTATTGACTAGTTTCAACTTGGCCATTAGACCATTTGTTTTATTTTTGACACTGTCTTGTTAGTTGTAACTTATATTATAAGTTTATAAAGACAAAAGTGTTTGCACTTAAAGTCAGAAATCGTAAATAATATTGAGAGTTGTATCACGAAGATTTTAATAATTTAATCTTATAATTACAATACAATAATCATCACACTTTTGTGACATAGCCTGCTGTTTATTAAATATATATATGCATAATGTGTATACTATAAAACAATACCATCTCAATCATTATTACTTTATAATTTTATATTATAATATTATTATACATGATCTTAACTACGCAACTATATTAAGCGAAAAAAAATATATCAAATATTATTGATCGTATAAATAATTAAATAAGTATATAATATATAATTTATCAAAATGTAAAATGTCTTATTCAAAAAATATTATTATAAGGTAGGTATAATTCAACAATCGAAAATAAAATCGGCCAGAACTCGGAAAATAATGTGTTTCCAATGTTTGCATAAAGATTATAGGCACAGCCGTCAGCCAAACAGGTCAGGCGGTAGGTATGGTCAGATAAGGGACATGTATCGTTTCCGCCAAAATTTAAAATTACTGTCTCTACCCAAGCCCATTTTTGAAAATTGAATTTTTTTTTAATAGTGTTAACATACTAAACTTTTCGTCATGCATGACCATATTTTGGAGGACATTTTATTGGAAACATATGTAGGTACATGGAAGTTTAAAATGCCCAAATATTGAACATTTTTATGTACACAAGTTTCTTATAAATGATTCATAATTTGTATGTCGTGAATACAAAATATAGTTGTCACTTGTCTGGAATATCTGATATTAAATCAAATACAAAACAATCGGATAAATCTTATGGAATTACTTAAATAGGGCCCTTATTAGCAAAACCAAAATGTTCAATATCTTACCTACGATTTTGGTCAAAAACAGCCATGCCCCTTAAATAAACACCTATATATATGTCGCATCCACATAGTGAAACTACTCATTTCTTGAACTGGATATTCAGATTGTGATATTCGTCCAGATAGTGAATTTTGACGAAAATACATTATATGGACATCCATTTCATGAAATGGACAATACCTATATCGTGTACTTTGTGTAATTATTATTTTATTATATAATGGTTCATAAACTATCATTATACATTTATACGTATATTATATTTAATTTTTCACGATTGATTAATATATAGGTAATTTTCTATATTGTTCTATACACAAAAATATAGAAATTATAGTCAATAAATTATATCATATTACATTATATTTTTATTTTATTTTTCATAAACCATACGTATATTATATTTTATAAACAACAGTGTTACCTATGTCCTATATTAAGTGTTATAAAATATTCATGAAATTAACTATAATTATAACCTAACCTACAGATCCCCCAAACATAATTTGCGTGATCACGGAACAAAAAAAAAAAGGATTACATAAACTTGGAACAAAATATGGTTTACTCAAAGGATGGTTCAGTAGTGAATGTTTGAAAAAATCAACAACTCAATTTCTCACTACTGATCAAGTTGATAAAAATGTTGAATTTTAGGTGAGAGAAATGATTAAAAAAATTTCAGGAGGGCAAGGATTTTTGTCTTGTTCGTGTAACGCAAAAAATCGTTGCCAATCAAGTAGGTGTACTTGTTTTAAAAATAATATGCAATGGAACAGTCGATGTCATAATCAATCGTCATGTAAAAATAAATAATAAGGAAAAAATGTATGTAAAGTTTAAGCCGTTTAAGGTATGTTTAAGTTAATCAATTAATTATTTTGTTAGGTAATAAAACAATAGAGAAATATAGGCAGTTAAATATTATAATTATAGTTAATTTCACGAATATTTTATAACACTTAATATAGGACATAGGTAACACTGTTGTTTATAAAATATAATATACGTATGGTTTATGAAAAATAAAATAAAAATATAATGTAATATGATATAATTTATTGACTATAATTGCTATATTTTTGTGTATAGAACAATATAGAAAATTACCCCTATATATTAATCAATCGTGAAAAATTAAATATAATATACGTATAAATGTATAATGATAGTTTATGAACCATTATATAATAAAATAATAATTACACAAAGTACACGATATAGGTATTGTCCATTTCATGAAATGGATGTCCATATAATGTATTTTCGTCAAAATTCACTATCTGGACGAATTTCACAATCGGAATATCCAGTTCATGAAATGAGTAGTTTCACTATGTGGATGCGACATATATATACTGTGAACAATAAAGAAGGCCAATGAAAACGAATCTAGGAACAGAGTATTATGACGATTCATATTGTCCTATATATGATATATTACACTGCGAAAGTGCAAAGCTAACTGGTAAAAGCTTGTGGGAATATAATTAGGTAATACAATTTTGGCGTTGAGATAATTATAAAGTGTAAATGTAAAGTTTTTATAAGTATAA